TACACGACGCTCTTCCGATCTCCCCAAAACCCCAAAACCCCAAGAAATAATTTTATTGAGTATTATAGAATGAAAATTTAAATAAATTCATTTAGTTTGCTACATTTCTATTTCACCACCTCCATTATCATCTTCAGAAAGCTTTTGATATCTAACCTTTAAATTTCTGTATTTCCTGTAGAAGCAAATAGTGCCAATGAAGAATAGTGTGAAGAATATACTGATGAAAATTAGTAATCCCTATAGCATAGGATTGATTAAGAAGTCGTCCTTAATTTGGCACTCCTCTGTTTTTTCAGTCAGGACTACAAATTTATGTCTTAATGCGAGCGGACTATCATTATTATTAATAGTTAAGTACTCATTATCAGTGAATTCAATGATACATTTATCAATAGGAATATTACTAATATATCTCTTTCCATTCTCACAGTTTGACACCACTTATTTAACTTGATTTAATTTGCATTGAGAGCAAGCTTTGGTACTAACCCATTCAAAGACATAGTGGCATTTGCCTATCCTATACTTATAGGTTGGGTAACCTTCCTCATCAGTGTCATTTCTACAAACATAGTCTATTTAGCTTGAATATCTTGTATTGGTTTTCTTATCGCACATATCCCCTTCTTCAAAGTAGATGGAATATCCATTCTCAGTGAAATTTGTGATATTTTAAACTATCTGTCCGACTACTTTTTTTAGCTTAAATGTTTTGAGCTGAGACAGACACTAAGTTGATTGATCAACAATTCCTTGAACTGCTTGTTCATTTTTAAACTCTTCCATAGTAGCTTGGTTCAAATGGAACAAGGCAAAGATATGTCCAAATCTTACAGAATCCTAGGTTTCATGATATTCATATTGTCTCAAGTCGAATCTCTCTATATTTAATTTGTTAATTTTATTTTTACTGAAGTTTGAGATGAAAAAAACATCTTAGTTGTAATTGCTGCTACTTTCTGGGAAAATTGGTCCCATTATGTTATTATCACAATAGTTCATATTCATTTATTTGTTGCAGACCATTATTGTAGACAGAAGGTAATAATTATACCTGAAGCCATTATCTGTCTGGAATACATCATAAGGATCGCAACTGCAATGATTAAATATTTTTAATCTTACTGAGAGGAACCTGCTCTAGATGTTGTGTAAGCAGGGCATTTTCTACAATTGCCTCCAATAATATTATTGAAATAAGAATCAACACATCCTTAGCAAGCAGATTCTAAAAGTAAAATTATAGAGAAAAAAAATAAATTACAATCTTGGTTTGGCTCAAAACCATAACCACAAACATCGCAAGTATTTGGATTGGATTATGAAGTGACGTATCCATCCTAGCATTTATGACAAGCAACAGCCCCACCATATGAAGTACCTTAAATTTGAATCTTGTGTATTGAAAGAACTCCCTGGGTTTAATTTTGTATAATTAATTGACCTTCATTATCTAGAACAAAAGATAATTGCTTCATGTTCTCATAAATTAGTTAGATCTTTCTTTGGCCTGATGGCAAGTACAATAAAATTGATTGAATTTTATTAGTATTGTCTGATTCAATTGTTGTTTCATCTATAAAAGATTATTATTTGCAAATTCCTACATCTTGAGATTCCATCGATTTCGATTGAGAATTTTTCACTATCTAATTGGAAATCTTTTACTGAAAAATCAACTGTCAGCTAGCCGAATAAATCATCAATTATTTCTACTTTAGTTTCTAAAATAGATTTAAAACCTGAAGGCAGAGGTTAATCCTGTTAAAAGTTAATAGACTGAAGAAATTACAATGACTAGTATATCATGATTTGCTGTAGTTTTCCACCCAATATATCTATCGCAAACATCACTAAGATCTACATTTGTAGTAAAGTTTGACTCGCATACTTTTGAGAATTACTCAGGTACTTTCTCAAAGTGGTCATACTCTAGCACTAGCGGAGCTGCATGACCGGCAGGGCATTATTTGCATTCAGATGCTCCAGTTTATGTACTATTGTTATGATAGTCGACATCTTAATAGAAACCCTTTGGGCAATACTCACAATAGCCAGTTGATTTATTCTCAAACTAGCCTCTTTAACAGTTTCTGCATGGAATGTTTTTACTTTCAGGTAGGTCAATTGAATTAGGATCTTGATCATCACAGATTTTAGGTTGATACCACTGATATGAAACAGATCTCTACTGATTAAGTCCACATTCACCAGAATACACGCTATACACATCCTCAGCAGAACATGGCTATTTCGGGATACAACTATGATCTCCAATTGCTCCTGCATAAGAATATTTTCCATCAGGACATTTCTTGCATTCTCTTGTTTCAGAGTCTGAATAATAATTGGCTTTGCATAATGAGCATCTACTTGATCCTGGCTAACTTTATCCTCTTTTGCAAGGAAGACATTCCAAGGCTGGCATGTTATGTTGAACAATACTAATGTATTCGATCTCGGCCATTAAATTTTGGCCTGACTCATCATTATACTTTGAGTATATCCAGATCAGCGTATACTTGCCAGGCCCATCAGTTATGTTATATTTAAATGTTATCCAATCAGACTTTGTATAATCATAATCTACTAAAATCTTTTGGCCATTAACAACAAATTTAAATTCTCCATTGGAAAATAATCCTTGGTTAGTTTATTTTTTATATCTGAACTCAACTGTTGCATTTTGTTCAAAGTAAGAAGTCAAAGTAATCTTGAAGGCAACATTCGCATTCATTAAAACTGATTTTCCACCCTTAATTGACTTCTAGGTGGCAATCCAAGGTTCACAGTTGGTGTTGCTAATCCATTGGTAGTTTTAATTTTCATAAAAGCACTCGAAGTCAATAGGAATAGTGTTGTTTTAAGCTTCAATTTCGTTTTTAATATTTATCCAATCACCAGTAACACCATCAATTAGTAATCCACCTGGCAAGCTATAAGTGTTTGCCGGACATAAACTGCATTTGGAAGATTAAATCTAAGGATCTAAGTCTAAATATTCTCCAGCAGGACAAGCAATACTACAGTCAAGATCATAGATTTGTTGAGGAAGTAGTTGTGAGGTTGCATCACAGACATCTTCTAAATCATTGTTGTCATAGAAAAAGTAGGCTAAATACAACATTAAAATCTAATGATTCATTACCTGATCTAGTTTGAGCTACATTTGAACATCTTGAGAATCCATATTTTATATCAGAAGATGTACATTACTTCGCCAATGAATTAGAAATGGCGCAAGACACTAGTAAAAGATAAACTTATTTGTTTATTTTCATTTTTAAATTTGTATTAATCCTTTTTTAAATTCTAATTATTTTAACTCATTCACATTCATCTACTAAATTGGAATATGCGGGGTTTTGGGGTTTTGGGGAGATCGGAAGA